ATATATATATATATATATATATATATATATATATATATATATATAAGATTCAACAAATGAGATTACACAGTATTTGTCTTTCTCAGTGTGCCTTATCTCACTTTCAAATTGCCATCAAGTTTCATCCACGTTGCTGAAAATGGCAGGTTTTTCTTCCTTTTAATGGCAGATTAATATTCCAGTGTGTGTGTGTGTGTCCACATTTTCTTCATACATTCATCCAATGATGAACACTTAGATCGCCTCCATGTCTTGGCGATGGTAAAAATTGATGACGTGAACATGGAGGTGCAGATACCTCTTTGAGAGAGTGATTTTAAATCCTTTGGATATAGATCCACAAGTGGAAGGTAGATCAATTTTTAATTTTTTGAAGACCTGCCGTACTGTTTTTTATAGTCACTGCACCGTTCATCTGGTTGGATGTATTCCACTGCCCTGTCTTTGAGTTCCCTGATCCTTTCTTCTGCTTCACCGAGTTGCTGTTAGAAACTTTCTATTGAATTTTTTATTTCAATGACTGTATTCTTCATCTCTGTGACTTCTGTTTTGTACTTTCTTATAGCTTATAATCTCTGTGTTGAAGTTCTCACTCTTTTCATGGATTGTTTCCCGGCCAGTTGAGCAACTTTTAACTCTCCCAGGGAAATGACTTGTCTCCACTTCATTTAGGTGTATTCTGTTTTAAGTGTATTAGTTTTATCCAATTTTTTGTTTGGAACATATTCCACCATCTCTTCATTGTCCTTGGCTCTCTGTGTTGGTTTCTGTGCTTCAGATAGAAGAGCTGCTTCCCCCAGCCTTGATGCAGTGGTCTCCTGTAGGAGGTGAATCTCATCATCCAGCCCTGTTCTAGCTCTTGGTTGTCTCCCCAAACTTTGTGAGGTCCCAACTGCCCACTTTATTCTCAGTGGCTCCAAACAGTGGAGGTTTCCCAAGGCCTTTCAGTGTCTCAAGGGAAGGATGGATCTCAGTCATCTTCTAGTTGCAGGCTGATGGGACACTGGTGCCTCAGGCAGCAGCCTTTGAAGTGTGCAAATAGACCTCTTTCAGGGAAAGACAGAGATGGGAGTGTCTGACTGCTGTATGTGAACTAAGCCTTTACAGAGTAGCCAGTTAAGAACTGTTTTTTGTTTGCTACAGTCCTGTGTGATTCACAAATACAAGATTCACTGGCCACCAGAGCCAGGCGATCAGTGGGTGCATGCCCTGAGCAGCAGCCAAGAAAACCATGGCCCCAATTGTGTACACAAGGTCTTTTCAGGGAGAAACCAGTGACCTGGAGTGCAGCAGGAAGAGAATGTGAAGATGGTACCTACGCACACCCCTGGGTTCTGGAGAAGATTTTTGGTTCCTAGATTTGTGTTAAATTAGGAGCCTAACTCTGAGGCTGCAGCTTTTAAGAAAAGCAAATAGTCCTTTTTCAGGGAAAGGCTGGTGTTGGGCATTTCTCTCTGCAGGCTCTGTTCTGAGTCCTGTGATGGTGGGGGGATAGCTATAGTGAGTTTTCCCAGCCCATTGAGAGGTGCTTCTTTGTTTTCTGTAGTCCTGTGGGTCTTGTTGGCTCAGGCCCCATTGGCTTTCAGAAGTACTTGATTTGGGGGCTTAGTCCTCAGGGGGAAGTTTAAAAGTTAGGTGCAGATATTGTGTGAAATCCTTCACTTCTTAAGGAGAATCTTGGAGGTTTGAGTTTCCTCCCAATTGTTGTGGGAGGAGTTTATGATGACATTGTGTCTCAGTCTCTTCTATGTATTTACGAGGGTTTTTTTCTTGTTTGTCCAATGAGTATGAGTCACTTAGCTATTTTTTGGATTTCTTCTAAGGGAATTGTTCCATTAGTAGATGTCGATTTAGTGAGTCTCTGCGTGAAGGTGAGTTCAGGTGCCTCCTAAGTCGCCATCTTGAACCAGACTGGTTTGGCTTTAAAAAGTAACCTATTTTTTGAAGTCATTATATTAGCAAGAAAGTCAGTGAGTTTGATGCCCATTGAGCACAGAGAAGCCAAACATGACGAAACAGGTTTGTACAGAAAAAGATTTATTCACGCAGCTTCCAATTGAGGAGACTGGACACAAGGCTCACATCAGTGTCCCCAAATAAAGACTTAGAGACAATTCAAAGAACAATGGTAAAAAGACAGTATCCATATTTATGAATCCTAATATGGAGTGTTCATTGTACAATCTTGGAACTAAGTCATCTAGTAATGGGGGAGGTGAGAGAAAGTGTAAAGGAATTGCAGGTTGGCAAGGGTGGATTGGGGGGGTCTAGTGCCTGGCAAAGTGCACTGTTATGAGCGCTCCTCGCTTCTGAATATTGTCCACAAGAACCGGGTCTGCACATGGTTTCCGGCTATGGGAAAATTGTGGTTCAGGCCCCCATCAAGGTTAGTTGTCTTCTGTACCAGGGTAATCCTCTGGGAGTGGTGATCTAGCTTCGTCTTGTGGTCTCTGGGGCTCTGTGAGGAAGCCTGCTGTTATCTCCTAAAAGCAGAAGAAACCTATTAGCGTCTGGTTTCAGTGTTCGAGTCCAGTTTCAAAGACTTTAGGGTTTGTTCCAGGTTCCCCTCATTCTAGTAAAATGTGCCCAACTTGAAGCAAATATTGCTCTTGGTGTTTCAAGAGTATCTTGGATCCAGGTGTCAGCCAACAAAGAGGGGAATTTTCCCAGAAAACTTTGAGAGTATCTTTAGCAAGCCAGGCCACTGGAAAAACTGTTAATGTCATTACTTCACAGTGCTGGAAAACATAAATGGTATAGGTTCCTCAGTAACAAAGATCCAAAAAGATGTATATCATATACAATCTTCCTCCAGACCCTGTGTGCTCTCCTACATTGCTCTCTCCTTTAAAGCCACCACAGTCCTGCGAGGTAGCATGATTCCTATTTTACAGATGAGAAAATTGGCTCATAGTATGTCAGTGAGTCACCCAAAGTCACATGAGTAGCTGGTATGTGTTTTCCAGTATCTGAACCCAAGTCTCTGCCTTACAGGACTCAGAGGGAAAGCATCTCTCCTCTGATTTGTCTAAAGGACTTTGAACACATCTGTACTCAGTGTCTGATAGATCACAGGATTATGTGGTCTTTAACGGAACATTTTGTCCAGAGATTCCTACACATAGACATTTCGGTCAACAAAATTATTGAAAAATAATTATATGCTTTATTTTTCAAGGAGAAATATTTTCAAGTAGCCTGTCAGTTACTGTAAATACCACTCCACAGAAGAAAGGATATTGTAACACTAGGAAAATAGATAGAAAATAATTCATTTCTTCATTCATTCAATACATATTAATTGTCTATTTTGAAAATTACTTAAAGTCTCTACAAATAATCCTTAAGGTATACAGTAAGTGACAAAAAATGTGTAATCAAGAAAAATCTACTAAAGTTGGCAAGAAAAGTGTGAGTATCAAGATCCTCTAGCCTCGCCCTTCCCAGCTCAAGACAAACTCCATCCAGGCTGGTACAGCCCCTTATACAGGGCTGTCTCCTGCCCCAGCTCCCAGTTGAAATGTTATTTCAGGATTCTCAGCTTACTTGAAATTACTGTTCCTCAGCAACATATCCTTAAAGAGTTACCAAAAAGATACAAAAAGGCATATCTGTCATTGAGCCAATGCCAAAAATAATGTGGCTAACTCCTTGTATCAAGTTGTACAACTTGGTCATAGCATTGCTTTTGCTTCCTCTTTCTCGTAATTCGACGATGATAGTAAAGTTCTGATTCACTTAATGTCGCAGTCCCTTCCATGACCTCCATTCTCAGCAGCCCGTTTTTTCTTCCTTTCATATTTAAGTCTAGTGTATGGGATAATAGAGCAGCTTATATTTTGGGAGTGTGTGTCTCTGTGTGTGTGTGTGTGTGTGTGTGTGTGTGTGATTCTGAGAGGACTTTGTGTGAACACAGATCTCAGGGGACATTAAGGAGTGTGAGTGGGGCAGCAGAGACTGAGCGGGGCTCATAAAAGGGGAGCAAGGAAAGAATTGTGGGAATTGTGTCAACATTTAAATATCTGCTCATCATTCTAGAAATGTTCTCTGCATGTCTGTAATGTCCCCAGCTGCTGTCTTCCTCCTGGGACACCTGTCATGAGACGACAGGCAGCCTGTGAGATAGGACTTTGTCACTTCAGCCTTCCTCCCCAGGTCCTGATCCCCTTCCCCATCCTTTTTACTCTGTCACACCAGAGGGTCAGAGCTTGAATTGCCTTCAGAGCAACTCATTCGGGACATCAAGACATTACCTTAGAATGTGTATGTTTTTTAATCACAAGGTGCCCCAGTGATCAAATAATCTAGAGATGGTATCCAAGGGAACCACCCAATCAGCTGCCCCTCGTTCAGGCCCCTCTGCCCACTTCCTCCACAAAAGCCCTAGGATGCTGCGGATACCCTTTAAAACCATTGATCCAGCCCACCTGCTGCAAGACCCCACACACTTCCTCAGAGTTGGGAACCTCTTCAAGGGATCCCCAAGACTTCTGAAGGTATTGAGGGAAGTGTGTAACTGTCTGTTAACGCCACGTGGGCTCTGACCCTGTGTGACCTGTGAGCTGGCCCCTCCTCCTGACCTGGCCCCTCTGGGACAGCCCTTGGCCTGCCCTCCCTGCCCAGGAACTTACCGTCAGGCCCTCAGCTTCCTGTGGACATAGATGGCAGAGACAGTAGTTGCCAGCAGCACCTTTGATCCTAGGAGGAAAGCGATGAGGATTTCAGTAGACATTGCTCGGCCTAGAAACAAAGGCAGAGAAGCCATGAGAGGAGAGTATTACCAGGGACCAACATTTACTCCATCTAAGGTTACTTAGGCTCGTCACTGCTCTGAAGCTTTCGGACCTGCTCTGGGCTCAGTTGCAAGGTAGAAATTGGGGTAAAGAAGATTAAGCCCAGGACTTAATTAGAACAATAGCAGATGTGAAGTGAAGGTTGGATTCTCCACTTCAATGGGCCTGCTCTGCCTGAATAGGGCCCTCATGGGGGAATATGAGACCCTGGACTGTGGGATAGGGGCCTATGGATCAAAGCACTCCAAAATCTTCAGTCCCTTGCTGGGCTGCTGAGGACAGTGGCAGCAGCATAACTACTTATCTCAAAAATTATCCTCTCCAAACTAAAAGAAGAAACAAATGAAAAAAGGAGTTTAAATTCCACACAAAACTAGCTCTCAGTGTTATTTGAAAAGAAAGTGTAAAAACTGCAAAATAACTCTTGACTCAAAAGAGAAAAATTACTAAATCTTAGTTTACAATCTGTCACGAGACTGCCAGCCCACCCTCACTCAGGCAGAGGAAAAAGTGCAGGAGAAACAGACGAGGGCAGCTAGCAAAGAGGCCTGAGAATTATTTGGGAATCCCACCACCAATATGAAATCCACCCTAAATTTGAAATTATTGGAAAAATGTCCTGTCAACTAGAGCTCAGATTATAGGAAGGAATTTCAATGTATGGCTGATGTAAAAGGGTCAGCACAGTCCATCCAGACTCTGTGAATATGTTACCTTACATAGCAAAAGTGTCAAGCAGTATTTATTAAGTTAAGATCTTGAAATGGGGACTTTATTTTGCATTATTCCAGTGGAGCAATGTAATCACGAAATCCTAAAATGTGAAAGAGGGACGCAGGAGAGTCTGAGAAGGGGTTGTGACCTCAGAAGCAGAGCTGAGTGATGTGGGGCCCTTAGCCAAGGAGTGTGGTTGCCTCTAGGGGCTGGAAAAGACAAGGAAATTGGTTCTCCCCTAGAGGCTCCAGAAGGAACCCAGTGCTATGAATCCATTGTAGACTTCTGATCTCTAGAACCATAAGGTGCTAAATTTGAGTTGTTTTAAGGCACTAAACATGTGATAATTTGTTACAGCAGGCATAGGAACCAGTACTAGGAGGTAGGAACATTTTAAAAGGACAGATGAGATTAAAGAGACAGGCACAATTTACAGTACATGTCTTATGGGAGAAAGTAAGAACGAAGGAACAAGTGCTGTTTGGCATTTAAGTGCTAAAGGGAAAAAGAAGTGGTGGGGGAGGAAAATTTAGTCTGAAACACAAAATAAGAATCACAAACATTAGAGGACTCAGAACATTTCTTCCACTTGCAAAATGATCCAACAAACCTCACACTCCACTAACATATTTAGATAACATTATACTGACAGAGAGGAGGATCATTAATCTGAAATATTGTAAAACACCCCAGTACCATAAACATGACCAGAAAGATGTGCATCCTCACACCACGCCCATTGGACCTAGGACTGCAATAGCCTGAGCCCTCAGACACTGGTGTAGGTGTGGCATCCCAGTGCAGAGGGCACACTTTGCTCCAGCCAGCCAAGCAAAAGAACCCCAAACCATTCCCAGCCTTAGAACTTAGCAAGCGTGCTGGGTCAGACATACTGAGAGTACTAGGATGTAGCAGACTGGTCTGAGCCCCAGCAGGAGGCAGAGATGAAAACGCAAACTGAAGCCAGTCCAAACAAGATGGTGGAGGCTCATCTCTCCTGCTCTTCTGTTCAATACAACTCTGAACCTTAGAAATGACACCACATACAAGCATGAGAGGACTCTGAGAGATGGAAGAGGAAGGCAGACTGGCTAGAGACCTAGAAACTGGAGGAGAAACACAGTGACCAGGAGTCATAGTTTGTACTCTCCTAACTTTCCAGGTACAGAAGGTGACCAGGTGTGGCGTAAAAAAAGAAACCAAAAAACAGTCGAATTTCAGTAATCTAAGTTCCCACCTCAAGAAACGAGAAATGGAAGAACAATATCAATCCCCAAGAAGCAGAAAAAAGGTTTTACAATAAGGAGAAAAATCAATGAAATTGAAAACGGAGAAACTATAGAGAAGTACAGCTGAACGATATTGGATTCTTTGAAAAGATCAATAAAATGGAAAAACTTCTGCATAGACTGATGAATTAAAAAGGAGAAATAACATATTTCCAATATCAGATGTGAAATAGGCGAGATCAGTACAGACCCTGCAGACATCAAAAAGAAAATGAGGGACTGTTATAAACAACTCTACAGGCAGACATTTGAAAACATAGAAAAATGGACCAAATTCCTCAAAAAGCACCACCTTGCACAATTCACCCAATATGAAGTGAGTATGTGAATATCCTAAACATTTCAATATGTTTTTAAAATCCGGAAAAGGATTCTCGAGGCTCAGGTGATATCATGGGAAAATTCTACCAGCCTAATACAGATGATATCAAAAACCAATTTTGGTCACAAAAAAAATGGTGTAAGAGAAATTTGGGGAAATTTGACTATATAACCCATTTCGATATTAGGTAATTATTGTCTATTTTATTGAGTGTGTAATGGTATTGAATCTAAAAAAACCAATGTCCTTAATCATATGACCACACAGTTACAGATGGTATTTGCATTTGGATGTGCATACATGACTAAGTTATTATTGGACTCATTTATGCAACTTTTGTATATTTCTAATTTTAAGGGCAATCA